GCTGTGGAGGCTGTCGGCTGTTGCCCCCTGCAGGGTCACCTGTCTTATGAAGCAAACTTCGCGATGTTCCGCCATCATTTCCACGTCGGCTTTCAGTGGCTGCGACGCTTGAAACTTGCGCAGCGCCTCTGGCTCCTTGATGTCCTTCAACGATGTCTGGATCAATCGGCTCGCGTGATGACGCCAGCTCCTTCCTGGTCAACTCTAGTAAGGTTCTACCAGGTCCACCAAAGTGTCTGCCTCGCTAGTGCCTCATGGAGCCCGCCTAGTGCCCGAAGCAATGTCCGAAAACAGCACCCGATCCACTCTGCATAATGTCCAAATCTTTCTTGTTTTCAGAAGTACAGGATTAAGAACATTGATGAAGGGGGTTGAGGGGGAGCTATGAGCAAACTCTTTGCTTCAAATAATTTTAGCTGCTCTCTAGACCTGAGCGCAATTTTGGGCACCACTGAGTCCCTTTGAGCTGTCTTCTTTCGGGAGAGGTTCCACCCTCTGAAACTTCGAAGGTTTTTTTTTAAAGTTTGTCGGACTTCTTGGCAGCTATTGGAGTCCCTTAAAGCTTCTCTTTCGCCAGTGTTGGAGGATTCAGGCTTTCAACTGCAATCTTGGCAAGTCAAACTTCCAAGTCTGAACCTTGAGGCTACAAGGAAGTTGCATGGTGGCAAAAATGTTGGAGTGGGAGGAGAGAGATGATGTGAAGTACAGTTTGATGTGGCTGTTCGAGACCCCAGTGTTTGGCAGCTCATGTCCATACTTCGAACCTTGCTGGCGCTTGCCGATAAGTTGCTGCAATGTTTTCAGAGTTGTCTTTGTCATGCCTCCACTCGAGAGCTGACTGTACGCACCCCCTTGTCAGGTTTCAGGTGCATCAGAAGAGGGAGGCAACTCTGGAGTTGGCATCAAGCTTCCTTGACAAGTTCATGCGCCAAACTGAATGATGCAGCTTTCTTTTTTTCCCCGCATTCATCATTGTTCACAGACTACGTTGCCGGCTTGCCGCACTTCAACTTCATGTTGCAACTAAAGTTTCCCATGTGGGGTTGTCTGCCGTATTCCTTGCTTGCGCTCGCCCAATGATGAGAAAACTGCACGTTCTGCAGCTCACCGCGTTCTTGCTGAGCACGTGCATGAACATGACACGGTCCACAAACGAGTGCAGCTTCACCTTCCTTTCTGCTTTAGGAAGCATCTCCAAGCTCTTTACAATGGCCTTGAAGAAGATCGAGATGTTTTCAACTCAAAGAAAGATGACCGTACTTTGCTGAAGTTCTTCAGCTGAAGCAACATTCGAGGCAGCAGTTCTGTTTCTTGCAACAAAGCAGACATTCGAAGAACATTCAAGATGTAGGCGACACTATGATTTGGGGTCCCAGGTTCTTTATGGCCAC